AATAAATTGTCAATCTAGAGATCTATACGTTGTGAGAATACTCTGCAAAACAAAGGTAAAATAAATGCTTTTTCTGAAATACAAAACCTTAAAGAATTAATCACCAATAGGCATACCCTACAAAAAAGGCTAAAGATTCCTAAAAGAAATGTTAAATGAAGTCTGTCAGGAAGACCAAATGATACCAGATAGAAATGCAGGTCTACACAAAGGGATGAAAAGCATCGGGAATTCCAAGTTCATGGGTAAATACAAAGATTATTCCTTAATATAAATGTCTTTAAGAGACAATTGACTGTTGAAAGTAAAAATAATAAAGTAGGCTGGGGATGCAGCTCAGTGGTACAGTGCTCGCCTAACATGTGCAAGGCTCTGGGTTAGATTCCCAGCAGTGCAAAACGTAATAAATGATTTACAGTAGGATGAATAACATGAGTAAAATGTATGCCAACAATAGATGAAAGGCTGAAAAGAATTTTCACGTGTTTGATTATTCTGAGTTCTGGTAGGTATAGCTAGCTATTGTCCTTTTCATATTCATGGTCACATCACAGTAACCAGGTGAATCCACATATTCTAGGCATTTAAATGATGTTCAACATTTAAAGTGTGAACATAGTATGACGTGACAGTGTGAACTCTGGGTCCAAAGTTGCTCTTTTCTCTCAAGTGTCCACTTCTACTTGTATCTTTAAAGGGAATTAAGCTACACATCTTTAAAACGTTTTACTTGAGCTGGGTGACAGTGGCTCATATCTGTAATCTTAGTTACTCAGAAGTCAGAGATCAGAAGGATCATAGTTCCAAGCTATCCTGGGCAAATAGTTCACCAGATCCCATCTCCAAAATACTCAATACAAAAAAGGGCTGGTGGAGTGGCTCAAGTGGTAGAGTGCCTGCCTAGCAAGTGTGATGTCCTGAGTTCAAATCCAGTACCACCAAAATAAAAACTATTTTACTTGATATTAGATAATCCACATCAGTCAAGGGATTGTGTGTTGTGTTGGGGAAGCAGAAGCAACGTGTACAGTGATCACATGTGCGTTAGCCATATTTTTCATCACTGTGACAAATCCCTTGAATAAAAGTTTCAAAGGAGGGAATATTTATTTTTGCTCACAGTTTCTGATCCGTTGGCAGCTCCATTGCTATGGGCCTGCAGTAAAGCACAGTATCATGGCAGTGGAGCATGTGGTAGAGGAGGCTGCTCATTCCGCCACAGCCAGGAAGCAGAGACAGAGAGACAGAAAGACAGGGACAAGACAGCCATAAAGGAACACCCCCAGCAACCGACTTCCTCAAACTAGGCCCCATCTTCCATAATTCCATCACCTTCAAATAGTGTATTCAAATCTTGAATCCATCAATGGATTCCACCACTGATTAAGTCAGAGCCCTCATGATTTAATAGTCTGTAGCACACCTAGAGACAGCTCCACAGGTGTGTTTTACTAATCTTCTAGGCACCTTTCAATCCAATCAAGTTCACAGTTAAAACTAGTCATCATAACTTGGTATCCATGGGAGACTGATTTCAGGATCTCCCACAGATACCAAAATCCATGGGTGATCAAATCCATTCTATAAAATTGTGTACTAGTTACACAGAACCCACAAGCATCATCCTGTATACTTGTATCTCTGGATGACATATAACACCTAATATAATGTAAATGTTATAAAAATAGATGCTGCTCTATATAATTTAGGGAATAATGATAAGAAAATTTCTGAACATGTTCAGTAGAGACACATTTTTTCAGAATATTTTCATTCAGTGGTTGTTTGAACTGAAGATAATGCAGGACTGACTATGTAAGTAAAACGTGCAAATCTTACTCTTGCTCAAGGTTCCTGAATGTGGTATAAGAGTAACAGAGAGGATGAATTTGATCAAAGAGCATTATATGCATGAATGGAAATATTACAATTAATATATACTAATAATAAAGAAAAATGAAAAGGCCCACAGTGTTGTTTGGTGCTGATAGGCCACAAGATAAAAGTAATATTGCAGACCTTTTTCTGTACCATTTCTGCATAGAATTTGAAAGGGTGCTGGAAATGAAGATAGAGGTAGGGATTAGGGTCAACAGAAAAGAAAAGGCTATACAAAATCCTAAAGAGGAATGATGAATTAGAAGGGTAGCTAGCATCTGCTGAGAATGGACAGAGGACATGGTAGAAGAGGCCCATTTACCTCATGGCCAAGTGCAAAGTGATGGGGTGGGGAGGGGCCTGGAGTATCTCTATACCCTTCAAGCTCATGCCCACAGTGATCTAAGACCTCCCACAAAGCCCCACCTCCTACAGGCTACACAACTTCCCACTAGTGTCATGCACTGAGAACCAAGTCAGGGCTTTTGTGAGTCATTCTATATCTGAACTATAGCACTCACTGCGTGGTGCCTTCTACCATGTTATGGTGCAGTAAGACAGTTCTTACCAGATATGGCCCCTCAATCTTAAACTTCCCAGCCTCTAAAACTGAAAGAAATAATTCTCTGCACTTAAAATTATCCACTCTCAGATGTTCAGTATTCCATTACAGCAGCATAAAGTAGACTAAGACAACAAAGTTACCTGAAGTTTAATGAAGGTAGGAAAGGTAGAGGAGGTTCCAAAGGAAGAAAAGAACCATTCCAGAAATCCAAACAAAATATTTACTGTCTACATACACATACACACATTTGTACATGTAAATACATGCACGTAGGTCCTACTAGATTATAGGTGCTTTCAAATATACTATCACCTGTAATTTTCCAAGGATCTTGAAGATCTCATCAGGGAAGATTCACCTTTTTCATAATATAGCACTTTTCTGCAGAAACCTTTGCAATATCAGTTATAATCTCAGGCTGAGAAATTTCTCTTTTTGATGCATGCTCAAAATCTCCTGAATCTCTGCTATCTCCCACATAACTGAACATATCTGAACACTAAGGCACGTGCCAAAAGGCACACTGAAAATGACGATTTCCTGTGGGACATGTACATAGGCAAAACAGTAGAAAGATGGTTATTTTTTCTTTTTAAATTAGGCTCAGCATATCCTCCAATAAATTATTTTCCATCTCCGGGAAGCTCCAGTGTTTAGGAATGAAACTCCATTGGTGTTCACTGCACAGTGATTCTGAAGCTCCTTCTGCATGTGCTAATTTGAGGAGGCTTTGACTTCTGACCACCTAGGCAAGCTCATCTGTGCATGTAGCAGATGGCTGTTACTATTTTTTTTTTCCCGGCAGTCCTGGGGTTGAGCTCAGGGCTTTGCACTTGCTAGGCAGGCACTCTACCTTGAGGCACTCTGCCAGCCCCATTTTGCATTGGTTATTTTTGAGATAGGGTCTCCCTTTATGCCTAGGGCAGCCTGGACTACAATTCTCCTATTTTACTTGCCCACATAGCTAGCCTAAACTATCATCCTCTAGGTCTCCACCTCCCTAGTAGTTAAGATTACAGAGTTGAGCCACCAAACCCAGCCTGTTGCTTCTAACAGTATTTGATCCCAGCCCCTCCTACTCTGGGATGTCGTTCATGTGATCATTGTTCTCCAGGACAACAGAGACTACTCAGTTCAGTGATACGTGGAATAAGGTAGCCACCCCAAATAAAGTATCACGAATAAAACTCGTGATAAATATTCCTGTTTAGAGGACGCATTGGAAAATCTGAGTGTAAAGGACTTTTCCTGGCTGGGAAACTCCTAGAATTTGAGTCAAGGATTAGCACCTTCCTTCCCTCTCAGAATCTGTTTCATCCAAACATTTTCATTCATTTCATCATGACCCAAAATCTAGTGTTGGCTTGCAACTGGCCAAATTACACTTGAGATAACATATTAGAATATTATTTAAATAATCTGCTCTGGCTCAAGCAGGGGTTTCTAGGCCACACCTCATGAGAGAATTACCCTTCTCTCTCTGGAAATCATTGCAGATGATGGAGAAAAATCACCTACTTCTGGTGCTGTGTTCAGCAGTGCCTCTCATGTCCACCCCAGGAGGTTGTTCCCCTCTGCAATATCCAGCATGCAAAAGAAACTGCGCAGAGCAGTTTTCCACTCTCTCAGCCTAAGTCACACCATCCAAGAACACAGGACACCACCTGTATCTACCCCAGCTGGAGACTCCTCTCAGCTTTATCCACCCCCATCAAAAGGGAAACGCTCACAGAAGTTTTCCATTCCCTCAAGCGTAAGTCACACCATGGGATGATCCTTCGCTGGCTACCATGCAGCTTCATTACACTCAACTCCCACAGAAGCAATTGCAGGTTCTGAAAGCCCCAGAATGTCAATGCCTTGGCTCAGGGCATTGGCACTGGGCAGCTGTCCCCTAGAGCCCACCTCTGCACCCCTCCTTTACTTGCTTTTTAAATCTCAGAGGACAGCTCAACATCTTCCTCATATGGCTGCTGCTCCCACACCCTACCATTCTATGATGGGCCCAACTATCCTAGCATCCCCCTGCTATACACATGGCTTTGCAAACAGCACGTGCTTACTGAATGGGGAAGAAATGAGCCATTGAGCAGAGATTTCATTCACAGTTAACAAGATCCCAGTGTATATCTTTGGTTTTTTAAAATGATAGGCAAAAAGTAATAAGGGAATCAAAATCAGTATTTTTATTTTTCATCTTTTTAGTATTTTCTTTCACACTTCCAAGGAAATTCCAGTACCATGCTATCTTCTTACAGCTTACAAAGAAGGTGGAAGATGTCCCAATTAGTTTTACAAAATAGCAAAACTCTCTCATACTGGATAAAAATCAACAAATATTCATGACAAATGTAATTTGCAAACTTAAATTCGGAGTGTAATAAACTGCTTAGTAAAAGTAGCAACATTTTAGAATACCAAGAAGATAACAGCTCAAGTCACCCAAATAGAACAGTTAGGGAAGGATTTATTCACCCCGAGCTCCAGCCTGACCCTCCATTACTTAGCTTATGGACTCTGCCTAACTCTATTTAGGTTAGAAACAGCCACTTGTGCACTAGAACTTGCAACTAGCTGTGGCAGTACCATCATTTTCTGTGGCCATTCTAGCCAAGGCTCTCTCTTTCTCATCTCTCAAAGCCTCCTCATACCACACTGGGAAAGATGAGGGATCACTCCCAATGATGTTGGCCAAAAACTCCAGAACTTTCATCTTGCTGGTTTCAGCATGGGTCCTTGGGCCCCACAGAAACTCATAGAGAGCAGGATCACTGTTGGGGACCTGGCGGTACTCCATGTACTGCTCCTGCACAAAATCCTCAGTGATGAGCTTCCTGGGGTCCCCATAAATGCAATGCTGCTTCCCATCAAACACCCCTATCTTACTCAACGTTTCCCAGACACTCTCTTCAGAGACACAGCTTCCCTTCATGAAAATTAGGCTTAGGATAAATATCAGCAGGCCCGTCTTGGGCATGCCCTGGACATCACTTTGCATCCCATCATATGTGAGCCCCAAGGAAGTGACAAGGAGATAGGATTGCTCAGTGGGGTCCACTTCCTTCAGATCGATACCAAAGACAATCTGCATGCACTCACAAGCTTCACTGAAGATCACAGAGAAGGAACCCTGGTAATTTTGGATGCTACTGCTCAACATTTCTGCCTTGGTGGTCGGCTCCTTCATTTTATATTTGAAGAGCAAGAAATGCACCAGGTCAGTCACCTTTTCATCTATCTCATTTCTGGGCGATGACTCTATTTCTGGTGGGGCCTGCAGGGTGCTTGAACCCTCCTTTCTTTGTTTGCTAGAGCCCTTACCAGAATGGCTCCATGAAGTGGAAGCCACGGCACTGAAGGAGGACCCGGCTCTCTGAGAATCCTGGGAAAGACCTGAGGCCCCAGCAGCACCAAAGTCCTCCTGTGTGGTTCTCCACATTAGAGGATAGTAAGGAGAAGGAGAGGAGGAGGAGGAGGAGGTGGAGGAGGAAGAAGAAGGAGGGAAAGATGAGGAGCAGGTAGAGGATGAGGAAACACATTCCTCCACAGATGCAGGAACCTGCGCTCCCACTAGGCTTTGTGTGTCACTTTGGGTCCCAAGGTCTTCCTCATGCAAGTGGCGTGGACGCTTTGGAGGTCGAGGCATGATGACCTGGAATGGCAGACAGAAGTTCGGGATGAGGACTCATGGCCAGGGAAGGACAGGGAGCGTGTGAGTTGCCTCAGCTGACAACTATACCCTTGGTGGCTCTCACAAAGGTCTATTCCAAGTCTTCTCTTTGAGTGGTGCTCTAGGACTACCTGGGCTGTCCCATGAGAGCATGAGGGCAGATGTGCAGTTGACATACACAGATCCTGAGGCTCTGGGGCTGTTTAGAGTGTGTAGGGCTTGGTAATGTAGATCCCCTGTGTACTGGGGTGGGTGGGGGCTCTTGGTACACATTCAAGGTGTATACCTCACTTTGACTCCTGACCCTGCCTGGGCCTGGTCTCTGTAACCTGAGACACTGCCTCAGACCAGTCTTTCACATGTTATGTGGTCCTTAGAGTTCATGTAAAAAGCACTGAAGCCACACTCTCTCCATCAGACTGCAGACTGCAAGGACAGCACTGGGCCCTCAGCCCTGACAGGAGGGGTGGTCTGGACTTTGTGAGCTCCCCACTGTTCTGGGCTAAATGTCCCCCTCAATGCTTACTTGGGTTCCAACTGTCCCCTACCAGGCATGGACTCTATCCCTCTGGTCACCTGAGGTGAACTCTTAGAATACAGGTCCTCCTCCCTGAGATGGAAAAAAAGCAGTGATGGGACCTCACATCTGACTACATCTGCTGAGGGACAAAAGCAAGAGGCAGCCACATTCAGTGTCATCCATATGGATGGTGGAAATGCTAAGTCCTCATCCTGATAAACAGCAAGGTCTGGAACTTTGCCTCTGATGACCTGAGACTCCCTTCCTTAAGCCTAAGCCCTTTTCTGTGAGACACAAAAAGAGGCAGCGAAGGAGGATAATTGTCCTACGTTCCATAGAATTTCCCCACAGCTAACAGAATGGAATGGTGTATTTGGTGAGCAGGTTCCCTCTGCCCTCACCTTTACTGCTGACAGATCCTGTATACCTCCCTCTGCTGTCCTGATGGCTCCTCTCACTCGAAGGCCTCACCTCCCTGAGACCTGTGAGAGAGAAGGGGAGATGTAGCTCATCTGGACACCCTTGCAGGGGTTTCCTAAGGCTGACAGACATAGCAAGGTTCAGGGGTCCTCTTTTGTCTTTAAGATATTCATATTCACTGCTCACAAGGCCTGAGCCCTTTCCCTCTACTGACCTGCGCATCCATCTTGAAGGACTAAGCCACCATCTCCCTGACACCACCTGAACCCTGAATACAAAGACAAGGGGTGGCAGCCTGGAGCTGCCCTGGGATAATAGGAAACAAAAGTTTCCTATCTCTTGGATCGAGGGTCTTCTTGGTTCTCTCTCAGTGCCCTGCTGACCAGAGGCCACACTCTTCAGATGAAGCCCACCCCTCCCTGACACCCCAGCAGCAAAAATGAAGGACCCCTACACCTGAAAACTGCCCATGACTGAAGGTCCCCCTCTGATATGGAGCACAAGTTCCCTTCATTCTTCCCTTGACTCCAGGCGGGAGCTCCCCACCCTGGCGATGACCTGAGTCCTCCTTCCTCAGATTGCAGAGTTGGATTGAAGAACATGACTCAGTCTGAAAGCAGAAGTAGGGCTGAACCAAAGTGTCCTGTGCCCTAGGTTCCTCAGTCCTGCCTCATGACTCAGTTTGACTCCTGAGAGGATCTGGGCCCCTCCCTCCCTGTACTGAGGCACTGCTTTTTCTATTAAATCCCTAACCTCTCCTAGACCCAGATGCAAAAGTCAGGAGTCACTGGTCACTGTACATGGGACATCCCAGGACTCCTAGCAAGCGTGAGGCTGGGCTCTTCCAGGGCAATCTCAGTCTGTCCTAAATCCTCACCTTGACTTCCAGCATTGGCTACCTCTTCACTGCTCACCTGAGGCCCTGCTCCTTCTACCGAACTCCTAACCTCTCTCAGACTCAGATGCAGAAGTCATACATCACCTTCCCAGTCACCCTACTTGGGACTTCACAGCAGGGGCAGAACTTCATGGGGTTCCACTTGTTCTGGTGTGTAGATCCTCCATCTCACAATCCAGGACCTTTCCTTTGTGACAAAGGCCCTTACTTCTTTTCTGATCCCCAAGGCCAAAGTTATGGGGCTGCACATCTGGCCAGCAACATGTCAGGACCACTGAGGACTAACAGTTGGGGCATAATGGGATTTGGAGGTCCCACTGTCCTCCCTCAGGGTCCTCCTGTTCTTAGCAGAGCCTGCTCTCTATCTTCTGCTTCTCTTAGACCAAGGGTCTGACTCCCATAGTCCCTGAATTAGAAAGAGGGCTGGGGGCAAAAGGGGTGCTCCCCTGATGAGACACCCCCGTGCAGAGCTCACAAGTGTGCAGCTGGATTATTTGGGGTCTTTCTATCTGTGAGTTTCCTGTACACTCTCATCTTTCACCTCACCAAGCCCTGGCCTCTGTCCTCCATCGTACTTAGACCAAGGCTCTGAGTGCCAGGGTCCACAGAGACTGAAAACAAGGGTGGGGCAGGGGCGCTGGCTTGACTAGAAGCTGCATGTGCAGGACTGGATTAATTTGTATTCCTCTATCAGGGGGTAGCTTTTCTGTACACCCTAAGCTCTCACCTCTACCCCACACAGAGCCAGGGCATCTTCCTTCCAAAGACCTCAGATAAAGGCTGTAGCTTAAACAGTCCCATGAGGCTGAGAGAGGGTGTGGGGGAGCAGTGGCAGTGCTCCCTGACTAGATACACCCATGTGGGGCAAGGGTGACAACAAAGGTAGGGCTGGATTATTTGGGGACCCTGTATTTTGGAGAGGGGCTTTGTCTGTACACCCTCAGCTCTCCCCTTGAGCCTCCTGGAGCCAGGGCTCCCGTCCTCAGACCAAGTGTGTAGACCTCCAGGATTCCTGAGGAGAAGCTGAAGGAGGTGAGGGAAGGGTAGAGGTGAGGGAGGAGTAGAGGGTCAGAGGAAGGGGGGGGTAAGGGGGGTGGGTGGAGGTGTTGGGTGAGGATTGAAGGTGTGGGGTGGGGAAGACGCAACAGGTGGGGAGGGCCGAAGTGACAGTTGGAGGAGGAACAGAGGTATAGGGTGTGGCAGGAGGAAGGTGGGGCATGGGAGGGCAAAGTTTGGGATGGGGTGGAATGACAGGGTGGCAATGAGGGAGGGGTGGGTGCTTCTAGTGACTAGATTCGCTGCTCTCCATGCCCCCCACCTCCACCCTGCACTCTGAGCATGTATGGCTGCATTATTTGGGGAGAAGGTTCTGTCTTCCCTCAATTCTTACTTTGATCCCTGACAGAGCCTCGGCTACTCCTCTCCAAAGATCACAGTCACAACCACAGGACCACAGTTAAAGGTTGTGACTTCCAAGGTTTCCTGGTGGTGGTAGGTAACGTATGTGCACCTGTGAAGAGATGTGACCACAGACAGAGCTGAGTTACTTGGGTACCTTCTATCTGGGAAAGGGGTTTCCTTTGTTCACCCTTAGCTATGCCCTTGACCTCTCCCAGACCCTGGGCCTGTCCCTCTTCAGACCAAAGCTGTGACTCCCAGGGTTCCCTGGAGCTGCAGGAGGGGTGGAGGAGGGGTGAGCAAGCTCCTGTGACTAGACACCCCATGCGGGACAGGGGTGACAAGAGGGACAGGGCTGGGTTATTTGGGGACCATCTAACTTAGGGCACTTCTGGCCATCCTCAAATTTTACCTCAGCCAGCCCCTCCCAGAGCTGGGGTCTCTTCAGCCCACAGATCTCAGGTGAAGGCTGTGACTCCCAGAATTCCCTGGGACAAAGGAGGGGTGGGGGAGGGGTGGGTGTACTTTTGTGACTAAACAGCCCCATGTGGTACAAGGGTGACAACAGAGGCAGGGCTCACCTCTTTCCACCTCCTCTCTCCCCCCATGTGCCAGGGTGACAACAGGAGCACAGCTAGATTATTCCTTTCTCTGTTCACCCTCAGCGTTCTCCTTGACCTCTCCCACCCCTCCTCAGACCAGGCTGTGACTCCCAGGATTCCCTGGGCAGAAGGAGGGGGGGGGAGGGGCGAGCGAGCTCCCGTGACTGGACACCCCATGCGGGACATGGTGACAAGCGGGACAGGGTTGGATTACCTGGGGACTCTCTATTCGGGGATGGGGTTTCCTCTGGCCGTCTTCAGTCCTCCCCTCCTTCCCTCCCAGAGCCCGGACCCGCTCCTCCTCACACCAAACCTGTGACTCCCAGGATTCCTTGGGCAGGAGGAGGGGTGGGGAGGGGCGAGCGAGCTCCCGTGACTAGAGGTTCCTCAACTCCTCCCTCCCCTCCCCACCACCGCTCTCCCCGCCTCCCCTCTCCCCCGTGTGCCAGGGAGACAAGAGCACAGCTAGAGTATTTGGGGACCTAACTCTGGGAGGGATGTTTTGTTTCTCTGCTGTCCACCCTCAGCTCTTCCCTCATTCCCTCCCAGAACACAGGTCTCTCTCTCCCCTCCTCACACCAAAGCTGTTACTCCCAGGATTCCCTGGGGCAGGAGGAGGGGTGGGGGAGGGGCGAGCGAGCTCCCAGTGACTAGACCCCCCATGCGGGACATGGGTGACAAGAGGACAGGGATGGATTACCTGGGGACTCTTATTCGGGGTGGGGTTTCCTTCGTACATCTTCAGTCCTCCCCTCCTTCCCTCCCAGAGCCCGGACCCGCTCCTCCTCACACCAAAGCTGTGAATCCCAGGATTCCCTGGGCAGGAGGAGGGTGGGGAGGGGCGAGCGAGCTCCCGTGACTAGAGGTTCCTCTACTCCTCCTCCCCACCCCGCCCCGCATGCCAGATTGACAACCGGGGTGCAGCTAGATTATCTGGGGACCCTAACTCTGGGTGAGATGTTCCTCTGCCCGCCCTTAGCTCTCACCTCAACACTTCACAAGCTGAGCCTCTGAGGGACGGACCTGAAGCGCGGCGCAACCTCAGCCTCTGAGGTTTCTAGAAGTCCGGCAACGTCACATCCGGTGTGGTGCCCGGGGTCTCCCAGGGCTGACAGGAGGGCGGAAGGGAATTCTCCCA